GTTTTTTTACTGCTTACGATGTGCAGTTTGGATATTTTGCACGGCACAGTTGAAAAATAAGCCCTTGGTAAGCACCCTTCCCTTGTGTGAGTCTCCATCTTTTTAACAAAATCAGTACTGTCCTACGCTATAACACAGCAGAGGTCAGATGGTTAAAAATGCAAAACGAAGGTTTCAAGGTTAAGAAACACAATCTTATATTCAGAACTTTACACCTTCACTGCCTATTCGAAGTAGTTTCGGGCTATTCAGTTGTTGAACATGATTTAAAAACAGGAGTGACATGGGTACAATCAACATCTTAGCAATGAATAATGATGCATATTTTATTAAATATAAATGTGTAGATATTTATATTTGGTATATACTGTACATGCGCGCCGCTTTGACGCAGGTACCGCCCATTTGAATGTATAACTAGCTAGGTTTGTGTTACGATGGCAACCTTGATGTGTCAACAGGGAAGGAACCCGCGCTGCGTCTCATAGCAACTCAAAAATACAAGAGAGAGAAGGTTGCACATGCAGCACCAGTCTGCTGTGTGCTGCTGGATATGCGGTTTTATCTTTTAAACATTGATACATTTTAATTAACGAGTGGAAACGTGTTAATATAATCGCTCGTTTGTTGTGACCGTACTTTGGCAGGCGGTATTTCTTTTGCCATTTGGTGCTTTTCTAAAAGATAAAAAAAAATAATTTTGCGCATCACACCAGCGTAGCTAATGAGCTAATTAAAAGTGTCAAAGCTGCCTTTTGTGATGAAAGTTAAAATTCGCGTCGTCTTTTAAACGTAATCTCTCTTAGCAGCGGAACTTAAGTGTTTGCCTTTTGAGTCTTGGTTTCCACTCGGATCACATTCTGCAGGGAAAGGAAGGGGAGGCAGGCTTTTGAATTTTATGTCAATTGGTGGGAGCCTACACAACAACACAAAAGTAGGAGCAGAGCAGTTGAAACCCATCGTTCGAGTGCAAGAAGACAAAAAGAAAGAAGATGTTTAAAAACACATTTCAGAGTGGATTCCTGTCCATTCTGTACAGCATCGGGAGCAAACCACTACAGATCTGGGATAAAAAGGTATGAAACGTGTCAATCAATTACCTGTTTTGTAAGTAGATGATATATTCAACAATTGGTAGCCCAGGTTAATACATTCGCTCAGAAGAGTCACTTTCTGATTTAAGGGTTTCCGAATATAATAACTGTGGATGGATATTGTAATTAAGGGCGTATACATTCCTTAAAAAAGCATTCGTTGTGATAATGCTAGCTTTTTAAGTCTGGAAAATTATAAACAAGTTATTTATCGATCTTTGTGAGAGCTTAATTGATGTAGCTTGTAGCATCGTTGTCCCCTGTGAAAGGTCTTTTACGTTATTATGATCATATACATCATACTGTATGTAGTGCCATACTAAGCTGCCAATGTTTTTACAATTTTATATATACTGAATTTAAACGTGTCAGTATAGTTGGGACTGCTAGCTTTGTTTCAATCGAGCTTTTAATACCTAGTGCTGATATTGACATACCTACTGTACTTATTTATCGGATTCTCAGTAGTCATTCTTTGGTTTCAAGCATACTTAAAGCATATTGTTCCCAGAACATCAGCAGATGCAGTGATGCGGTCTGCCATTCATTTGAGAGTTAAGACTCCCTCATGCCAGTCTAAAAGACCTCCTAAAGTGGTAATCAATTTATGATGAACAGGCACAGAGGGGGTCACAAAACTCCCATAGTGAGCATTAGGCATCAGGCAGTAGGCTTCACAGCTGTGAAAAGCAAATTTAAGAAGATATCAATAGAAAACTGAAATGAGTTAGGTCTAGCCTGTGAGTAAGATCACTGGACCAAGGCTGGACCAAAACAGGACCCTCAGTGTCCCCCAGGACCAGGGTATAGAGATAGTGGACATTAAGTGGAAACACCAGTGTAGAGTCTGCTTAATGTGGCGTTGGGCCTCCATGTGTGTCCAGTACTCAAGAATTGTTCCATAAATGTTGGGTTGGGTTCAGATCTGCTGACTTACTAAAAAGGACCCTGTATGGGTTTCATTGAGCTCTGGCATCTTCTACAAGTAAAAGATACAACTCCCTGTTCCTTATTTTAGGTGAGAAATGGCCACATTAAGCGGATAACAGACAATGATATCCAGTCGCTGGTGCTGGAAGTTGAGGGTACTAATGTGAGGTAAGTTATAATTAAATAAAGCCTCGAAAGGAATATATTTCTTCGGATTCAGAACAGGGAGTGCACATAACATTTACCACACACATACAAAACTAATTTGCTTGCTTTGAATCATTAAATGCATTTTGAGAGAGGTTTGGAACTTTAGTCAGCTGTGACTATTAGGCTTGTGGATTGTAATGAGAAAATGGTAAAGCTTAGTTTCTTTTATGACTTGGAAGTACTAATAATGAGTTTGTTTTTGCTGTGTGACTTCCATTTTCCAGCTCCATTAAGAACAACTGAAGTTAATTACTTGCTATAGTTCTGCTGGTAATATGTTAATGGTCCTAAGAATGTCTGGAGCAAGTCTTACTTGTCACTATTTGCATATCTGTGCAGGTCAGTTGCTTGGCTTGCTGGTAACTGGACAAGGTGGATGTTAAAGTAATCTCCATTTTCTTCTATTGTAGCACGACATACATCACATGTCCGGCTGATCCTAAGAAAACACTAGGTATCAAGCTGCCATTTTTGGTTATGATCATCAAAAATTTAAAGAAGTATTTCACCTTTGAAGTCCAGGTAAGATGACAATAGTATTTCCCCACCACATGACATGGTTTTGCATTTAACTGTTTCGCTGCAGAGACAGAAATACACATTTACTTTATGTTCTTGAAAGAATTCTAACACTACTTTGCCAGCGGCCATAAAGACACTTGAGCAACACAGTGGCGCAGTGGTTAGCGTTGCCGCATCGCAATTTGGGTTAAATTTCCAACTGGAGTACCATCTGTATGGAGTTTGTATGTTCTCCCCGAGCTCACATGGGTTTCCTCCCACAGTCGGAAGGCCTACTGGTATGTTGTGGTGTGGCTCATGGGAAAGTTGTCCCCGGTGTGAGTCTGCAGTGTATGTCTGTGTGTGCGCTGTGATGTTTCGCGTCTGTTGCTTGCCAGGATAGGCTGTGGCTCACTCGTGTCCTTGTATTGGATAATAATAATTGCTTACACTTACATAGCACTTTTCTGGACACTTCACTCAAAGCGCTTTACAGGTAATGGGGACTCCCCTCCACCACCACCTATGTGCAGCACCCACCTGGATGACGCGACGGCAGCCATAGTGCGCCAGAACGCTCCCCACACATCAGCTATCACTGGGGAGGAGAACAGAGTAATGAAGGCAATTCATAGATGGGGATTATTAGGAGGCCATGATTGGGAAATTTGGCCATAAGGTTGGATAAGAATAAGGTTGTTTAGAAAATGGAGGGATGGCTAGACAAATTAATTTCACATGGATTACTCATCACTTCATTTAATTGGAAAACACACATTAGCCGACGTTTTCACACAGCGAAGTAGGTGCATTCAATTAACAGCCATTGCTGCTTGTTTGTATCTAGGTGTTAGACGATAAAAACGTCAGGCGGCGTTTTCGAGCAAGCAATTACCAGAGTACCACCCGGGTGAAACCTTTCATCTGCACTATGCCAATGAGGCTCGATGATGGCTGGAACCAGATTCAGTTTAATCTGTCAGATTTCACGCGCCGAGCCTACGGCACCAACTACATCGAGACACTCCGAGTACAGGTAAGTGAGTGAAGTCCCATTCATAGCATTTGTTGATGTTCATATACTTTCTGCTCACAGTGCCAAATTGCATACTTAATAATGCATTTTTACTGTAAAACCACTCCACATATGGTATAGTTACAATTTTTTGTACCAGCAGCTAATACTCCATTAATATTCCATTAATTACTGTTCCTTACAGGGTAAACCAATTGGCATATAAATGACATTTACCTTTAACTAGTTATTAAAAATCTAGAATAGTTTTCCAAAAGAATACCAGATATGGATAGGAAGAATATGATGTCCAGTTATTGAACTGTCTTTGGATTCTCCAGTCACAAAAAGCTTGGCATCAGAGGTAGCAAGCTTTCCACAGAATGTTCCTCATTATGGTACTAACATACCCCTGCGAAAGCCAACTTAAGTATAGTCTCTAAAAGTTGTCTGCCTTTTTTAGATACACGCAAATTGTCGTATTCGAAGGGTGTATTTCTCAGACAGACTGTATTCCGAAGATGAGCTCCCAGCAGAATTCAAACTCTATTTACCTGTTCAGAATAAAGCAAAGGTAAGCCTTCGATTATATAGTTATTCAGAAAATAAATGTTTCCTCTAAATGAATAAAGGAGATTTACTTTTGTTGCTTAGGTGTTTTTTATCCTTTCCATGATTATTATTATTATTCTTATCACAGGAAGTTTCTACTGTTTATATAAGAGGTATGCAAATGCCTTTAAGAGGTATCAGATGAACTGTGTAATCTTACTTTCAGTAATAAAATCCATTAGGTCATCAATAATCCCACAGGAGCAACAAAGATAAGGCTTGGATTCCACCCTGTGTTCAAACTGCCCATTTAGTTACTGTGAATTGGCAGCTTGCCCACAGTGGGGACTTTAGTATAAAGTAATATGGACTGAAATAATTTTAAATTCAAAATTGTTTTCTGTACCAGAATAATTTACTTGACTGCAGTATAAAGTCTTGCAATCATAATAAATGCTAGTTTATATTAAAAATGTGTAGGCAGATAAAGACCTTGTTTTTCTTTTCTTTGCAGCAGTAACAAATGGTGAAATTTTCCATTCCATCCCTGCTGTTAATTTATCTTCAGATCTTCCTTCAGAATGAGATTAAGACACCTACATAACACAAACTGATTTTTATTGTTTTCCAACCATGTGTTCACCTCTGTCTAACATTATGAATACCCTGTGCTCAATAAAATTTTATATATAAGCATTTGCATAATTATTTCTTGTGTAAATTGAATTAAAATTATTTACATGAACTCAAAAGTCAATTTCTTGGTTAGATTCTATTTTTTTACACTAATAAGCTTACAAGCGGCTCTTAGTTGATAACACTAACCTGTTTTCATTAAGAAAAGATGTCCATGGATTTTACAATTATGTAATCATTTTCATTTTCCCCACTTTTTAACTACACAAAAATGTGGTAAAAGTTCTCCTTCTTCACTGTTACAAATAGGTGTTCCTAAAAAAGCAGTCCTGTTGGAAATGGATTTGCTGAATGAAAAATATTTATTTTTTTTCCCCCAAAGACAAGCTTTTATTTCACACATATAGTAGCTACTGCAGTAGCAGATAAAAACAGGAATAAAATTGAAAATATTGAAATATATAAAACATTTCATAAACAGTATACTGTATGGTATTGGGAATAGAAACTTCAAAATGAGTGAATAAAGAATCTGATTTGCTTAATCTCAGACCTTTGAATTTGCTTTGCATTGACTAGACAGGTAACATACTGTACATAAATGCTTGTTTCCTGGAATTGTCTGTTTTCTGTATAAAATGTTCTTAATATGTAGTTGTGTTTTAAATAAGATGTTAGGTGTTCCAACCAATACTTTGGGAACTATCTATGTAATTAAAATTATTTAATAATTGTTACATTTCTCCATCTTATTGAGTGGATTCATACCAACCGTGGGCATTATTATTTCATTAGTATTATACTTAGAAAATCATCTGACTATTTAAAATGACTTGAAATACACCACAAGTTAATCGCTACATCACCAAACTCCTGGCAGTATTTGTTTAAACTTCTAGAGCAGACTTGTATCATGATTTTGTCAAACAAATGGCACACTTACATTGTCATCTAAAAAAAATGACCAGGACAAAACGAATACTTGATTAAAAACAGTTATTGTCCAGGATGACTGCAACTGTTTGTTTCAAAGAACCTTGTGTAAAACTACGAAAAAGAAAAACAACCATGGTGCTGGCAGAATATTGTATATGGAACTGTAAAGATCAGAAAATTAACTCATTGGTTGTAGCAAAAAATAGCTCAATACTTTGCATGCCATATGCTCAAAGGAACATGCAAATCTTGAAGTTCTATTGTAAAAGTTGCAATTGCTTAATATACAAATTTTAGCAACTTTAATATTGTATTTTAATTTAAAATATACAGTTTTCCCAATTATATTGTAAATGATCAAAGGTACCGTGACTGAGACCTAAGATCTATAGGACAAAATGGAAATTATTTTCACGACTTTTATCCCATATAAACAGCTGCAGACTTGGCATTGCACGATACAGTTTCCTATTGAACTGACTGCAGGATACTTCCCTCCTATTTTCTTCCTAAACATGTAGAAGTGCAGTTAAACACAAGAAAGAACACTGCATCTTAAATTTAGACATTTGACAGCAATGCATTTCTACACAAAGTGCATTAAAAATCACTGTGGTCTGTTGTATTGTGAATAGAGTTTGCAGAAAGTCTGGTGTAATGACAATGGAAAAAAAAAATTCTGAGGCAGCTTTAAATTGAATCAAAGGGTGCTTTAGATCTTGCTGCATTTACTCAAAACCAAGCCAAACTGAACCTATTCCTATTACTTCAGTGTCTGTGTCTCTTACAGCATTAATGTCAAACAAAAGCAATAGGTAATCTCCTTAAAAAGAAACCGTAGTCAAAGTATCATCTAGTAACATCTAATAAGGCATCCAGGTATGCCTCTTTGACATTGTGAAAAGCAATGAAAAAGGGGATACTTTGCATTGATCATATTTTACAGGAAGAGTAGAGTTTTCAAGTAAAAAAAAAAAAGAAAAACAGCATAAAAACATTTATTGAAATTTCACCTGGGCAGTGTTTCAAAGTTGATGCACATACTATAAGAGCCCAGAAGCTGCAGTAGTAAAGTGCAGAGTACCAGGAAATAGAACACCACTATGAGCAATGCCATGAACAAAGCCAGCATGTTTCCTTTAAAGATCCCTCGTTACTGGACGGGAAATGATTGCCCTTTTTATCCATTTCTACAAATAACCCCTCGCTGTATTCCAGTTAGACGAACGAATGCACCTTTTCCCTCCCAAATTTCATTTCGAAAAACATATTCCCCCCTCCCACCCCCAATTTAAAAAATAAAACTCTAGAAAGGGATATTTTTGCATCAGTGTTTCAAGGCCTCTGGAGTCACTCCGTTTCAGTGTTGCACAGCCGCCGCCGGGGTCTCTTCGAAGTTCAGAATGTAGTAATCGTGGACGTACATGAGCACTGCGATGGGCTGCCCGATTATGAGCGAAATCCACACGGCCGCATTGCCATAGTTGCCTCTCAGGAATCTGCCCACAAACCACGCTAGGGGAATCTGAAATTGCAGATCACAGTTTTCAAAGTTATGTGCATGTTAGAGAGATATTAGGGGGAAAAAAAACCCCACAGTGTATCATTTTGCTATGCCAATGTCGACAGTGTAGTAATGGTGTATTTTCTCCCCTCTACCTGCACACAGATACAAATTTCTCCAATAATTATCAGTTTCTATATGATACTACAGAAGGCCTCCTTAGGCACTTCTCAGGATTTTTGAAAGCTACAGACAGGTGCATACATTTCACACCGTAGTCGATATTATTATATTGACGATTCACAAGAGAATGTTTTATTTTATTACAGTTGACACTTTCATAACAGCTATAAATGGTTCTGGTGTCACGGCTGGTTGGCGGTTATATAGGTGAGATTTAACGAATAGCTAATATAACATTTAAGGGAGTGATCCCATTACAAATACATTTCTCAAACATGTGGTTGTGGAATAACTCCAGATGTGTATATTACAAATTTACCTTGGTAAGTGTTTAAAGCTTTTCTGTAAAACAAAACACAAAATGACTCTCTCCACCTCCAATGCATGTCAGAGGTGGTGAAGACAAAAAGGTTGGAGATATGAAAGCAAACAGTGTCTTAGTGTTGGGGAAGTCTAAATAAGGATTTTTAAAAATACAATGCATGGTGACTTATCCATCAAACAGCGGCAATATTTTAAGACCACTTGCAGGCAAACTTCCGTTTACTGTGTTCTTACCTGCGCCATCATACCCATGAAGGCCCACAGGCGGAACATCTTCAGAGGAACACTGACGAGATACTGAAAAACAAAAACATGTTGCATTATATTTCACGCATTGTATGTAGACAATGGATACAGTCACCTAGAACACAAAAATGTGATTCAGCTGTCAGCAGCACACAGCAAAGGGACACATCTTAGTTTTTATGGCGAGTGCAAATCACAAACTTCAGCAGGTGTCACCCCAGCAAGGACAGTTCTCCCCCTGAGATTTTTGCTGTCATTATTCAAAATGAGCACACCTGTGAGGGTCAGAACACAGCTGGGCCAAGTAGTCCTTCATTTCTGAATGGTTAGAATCCAGCAGATAAGCAACTGTGCTTGGATTCATATAGCACATCTTTCCATTGGATGAATGAATCTTTTCTGGTTATTCAAAGGCTGGTCTTACAGAATGGAACATTTGTCTCTCTGTGTTTAAACTCTGCCTTCTACCAGTGATGAGCTGTCTTTAAATGAGAGTGATGATCATGGTTCATAATTAAAAAAGTTAATAAGAAAATCAGGAGTTCTCAAATACCAGCTCAAATACTGGGTAGGATTCCCACCAGATGTTATTGGTATCTTGAACCATGAGAAAGGTGAAAAGGTAGCAAAAATGATAAAATAAATGCAATAATGCTTTTCAAAGAACAAGGACATTTAATTATTTTTCAATATTCCCAAAACAGTACTGCATTTATTTTATATCCCCCTATAGCCATTTATTTTCAGGGGTCTAATCAGACAAGCCAATTACAGCTGAAAAGTTTTGCTGATCAGATTTGTACGTGAAAAGCAATTTCAATCCATAATTGATGAGAGGAGGGTTTGAAATGCCAAAAAAAAGGAGAATAAATCTCAATCTGTAACCAGGGATGCAAGGCTTCTAGGAGAATGTGCAGATGAACTGTCAGTCCTTACCTCATGAAAGAAAGCTGAAGCCAAGAATACAGCAGTCTGTGCTGCCCATTTACCCACTCCTCTCTTCAGTATGGGTTTGTAAAAGTGGCTTCAAAGAAAATAAAGAGATTAATAATAAATCAATGAGGAAGTACGAACCCAAATTAGGTTATGACAAAACTGAGCCTGGAAACTGCTGAACACGTCTTTCTCTTTGCCTAAAATGTTTTAGAATATTTTTTTTTAATATTTTTTAAATAACATTGCCAGCTTCATGACTTATGAAAATTTTAGAAATTATTTTCCTTGGAATTCACTATTAACATCCCTATCATTTAAAAAGAAATACCCTTCTAAGTTGTTCTTTGCCATGATTATTTTTTCCTCATTTTGAGAAATGATCTAATAGTGACTGTCAAGCCCCCACACTTACAAAGCATTTTTTTTTTACTATGGTAAAAAACAACTGTCAAAAATGACAATGTTAGATAACTTAAGTAAAAGAAATATGTGCCTGTAGGCAGATTACTTGTACAAGTGACAGTATTTTAATTAAAATGCCTAAATTAAAACCTTCAATGCCTAAGATTATGAGACTTACCGGAGGCACCACTTGTGGACAGGAATATTCCAGTTCTGCCAAAAGTATGTCACCGTTTCAGAGTTCCTGAAAAATGCAAGACCTGTTCATTGCATGTGAAATATGAGCCTATGCTGTGCCTTGATTCACACAACATAAATATCCTGTGTCAAGACTGAAATTTATCTGAAGACTGTGAGCCTGCGGAGTGATGAAAAACAGTCCTTCCTTAAATAAATTAGCTTTTGTTGAAGACTTAAAAAAAACCTCAAGATTGCGGTAAATATTCAGCAGTATTCGTCAGCTTTGAATTTAGTAAATATTTCACTGTGCCATAGTATTTCTTGTCCTGACTCTTCACCAGGAGTTTTTCCCCCAGAAATAAACAAGATTAAAACTTGTTAGGAAACCCAAGATACATTTATGAAATTACATGTGTCCTAGATTTCTGCTGCTGTCAATGCCCTTATCACTAGCACTCCAGACCAACAACCACTTAAGCTTTTTAGCAAAAAAATGGTTTTCTAGAGACATCAGTCCTGAAGCAAAGACAAGACCAGTCAAAAGATGATTTATTACTGAGATTATCCTAGGGTCTTTGTAAAAAACATTTGAGCAATACTTTACAATATATATAGATTCATAATTTGATGAACAGGCTGGCTTCCTCACAGCTGCAGTAAAAAAACCAGCTCATTTCCAAGGCTTGTGACTCACTGCTTCTATTATTAAAAAGTGTAGGAAATCAGGCAGAGGATTGCCTAAATTCCCTGCTAAGCATTTCAAATTATAAATAGCAAATCTTTTCACAGCTCATTACTAGCAACTCAAGTATTTTTTTTTTTAATCCATAATCTTAGCTATGTCCCTTGACATTTATTATTTTTCATAGTAATAAACTAAGAAACTGGAAAGAAAATGTAATGTTCATGTTGGCTTACTGCATGGAGGGGACAATTTTTAAAACTAATATTCCCCCCTTGACACAGCACCAGGCAGAATTTTAGAAATTCTAGTAGGTGTTTATTATTCATATAATAAAGAAAGGTGAACCTTATTTTCTGTAATTCTAAGAGAAGTGGGTCAGAGAAATGCACGCTCACTAATCTTACTGATGTACTTTTCATATTATGTTACACAGAGACGCTACACTCATATGTGGTTATCCTGGCCCAGGATACCAAGTCTTACAACATTTTAAGAAAGCAATCAGATTCTAGTCTACAGTGTAATTTAACTTATGCAATTATTTCTTATGGGAGAAACTAAGCTACGGTATTTCCACAAAATCTTCCATCACTGACTATGACGGAGTGATGTTCAATTTCTTTAAATGTCATGACAATGACAAATATTCACACAGAAACCCTCACAGATTGCTCTCAGATACAAAAAAAGCTGAGATAGCGTGTAACAGATTCATCTGGAATGTGTACCTCTACCTGATATTTACAGAGAACAAAAAGCTCAAACGTTAATTTGCTATGTTTGTTGTTTTACTCTGTTCATCTTGGCCATTTTCTGGTGTTGAACAATAGGTTTCCAAGTAACAGCACAGCACATCTATTCCTTTAAGAGGTTCTTAACCTTTACTGCAGGATGCACCCACTTTGACTCTCAAAGTATATTCCCGCATTCCTTATGAAACCTCATTGAAGTAGATCAGTTTATTAAACCCAAGAAATATCATACAGTAACTATAGAATAAAAGAGATAGAATTATATATATATATTAATTTTGCTGTAAAATACACAAAAATGAAAACACTTTCGTAAGTTTACCTTATAATACCTAGATTTTAGGCCACAAAGAAGTTCTATTTAACAGTCTGTACTTAATTTGTGGTTTCACAAATCTAACAAATTTCACAAATTTGCTTTAAGGAGTTATCAGGCATGAGGCAATCGCACAAAGTAACGTGTTTGTACATACCACCAGTCCCTGTAGAACTCGCGGTCTCCGAACTGCATGAGCTCAGCTACAAAATTCATGGAGGAGTGGAAAAACCAATAGAAAAATATCAGCCAGATTAAGTGATTGGGAACCTGTTGGGATTAAAGGCGAAAAGGGAAACCCTGTGCTTTTTAAAACGCTTTGAAACAAAAACACACATACACAGCCTGGTCATTCAAATCGTGAGGAAATATTCCATTTTCAGGTTTTCAGGCCTCAAAACCTTCTTCTTTAGAAGGGGTTTTATTCAACTGGTTCTGTGTCAGCCCCTTTATTACTATATTCCAAACCCTTATTGTAATTGTGTAATTCTGCTGTCTCCTCTCTTGTGTACGTTTTCTTCAACTTGTAAAGCTCTTTGAGATACCACTTGTAAAGGTGCTATATACAATAAAGTTGAATTATTTTCCATGCTATTATCCATAAATATGTTCTTGTTTTTAGTACAAGCCAGGACCTTGCCAGCTAGCTTTCAGGCGACGTAGTGAATGGTTCTGTTTGGGGTTTTCTGAGCCAGTGGATGTACTCCACTAGAACTGGCCCGGGCTGTCGTCAACACCCGTGACTCCCAGTTGAGAAACTCCCATCCCATCATTCGCCAGCAGCTATACTGTAATTCACAACTGGCAACCTAATACCCAGACTAGTACCCGGATGTGAGACCTCCTGGGAAAGCTAAGGTTGCTGCTGGAAGAGGTGTTATCGGAACTAGCAGGGAGTGCTCACCCTGTGTGGGTTCTAATGCCCAAGTACAGTGATTGGGGATCCTATCCTTTAAAAAAGGCGCTATCTTTCCGATGAGATTTAAAAATGAGCTCCTGACTCCAGGGCATTTAACGAAATGAGTAGGGGCGTATTCCTGTGTTGTGGCTAAACTTCCACCTGATCGTGCGTCAGCATGTGTAGGCTGCAAAGGAACATTTAAAGGTTCATCCTATGCTGATAGGAAAAGAAAAGACACACAACTTTCCACGGTGGAGCCTTCTTCAGGCGTGCCATATTGTGATTTTTGTTACCAGCATGGAATTACCTTGACCTGTTCCTTATCTGGTGTATAGGATTGCAGACAACTGAATTAGCAGGAAATCTGTAATTCTGAAATATCTGTCGCGGATCAAGAGTCATTTTATGATTTCATGAATGTCACATTCCTTCAGTACTTACAGCCAGCTTCAGGAGCCGCTCGATCATTCTTGAAAAGTCCATGTCCTAAAAAAATGACAGACGAGATTGATACTGCGGACGGTAATGAACAAGTCGGAAAAATAAGAAATCTGA